CTCATTCCGACTTCCGCTAATTAAAAATGCACATTGTATTAGGAATATAAAACACCTGAAAGGCAACAATAACAATTTTCTCACCCTTCAAGAGCTGCAGAACAAATACGACTTAAAGATTCAACCATTGACTTACTGTGGTCTTCTTTCTGCTCTTAAAGCACTCTGAAGAGAAAATAATCTCAGATACTGCACAGTCAACGGCAAAAATTATGAAAGCTTTTTTTGACTAAAATTATCCAAATGTTAAAAACCTAGTAGACTTGCATATAACGCTCTTGTTCCAAAGAAAGCCTCTCCTCTACCCACAGCCAGTACAAATGGACGGAAGCTTGTGGCTACCACAAAATGGTGTGAATTGGACCGCTGCATACCAGCTAGCTTCAAAAATTACCAGAAGCACAAAACTCAGTGAATTTCAGTTTAAACTTCTGCACAGGAGATTGCCAACAAGTGACTTTTTGACTAAGATACAAATAAAGAAAAAAACCCCCGGTGCTTTTTTTTTGTAAAGAAGAAAAGGAAAAACTAACACAAGTAACTTTTCTGAAGCTGCCCTATAATAAAATCTTTCTGGGAATACGTAATAGCGCGCCTAAAGGCTTTCCAGGTCGTTCAAAACGATTTTTCCAAGTTACATCAACAAGTAAATTTTTGCCTTCTTACAGCCAGGCACTACATTTGGCTCTGTAAAACCAATGAAATAACCCTGACATTATATGGATATGTTAAATATGTCAAATCGATCCACAGAATACGCGTGCAAGAAACCGCTAATCAGTCCCTACCTAAAGAATGGACTTTTCTAAACGGCATCCGAACAGAGTTAAAACTCTCTTTTGGCGCCACCCTTCCATATACCCTTGAAAATCTCGTTTGTATAACTTTACGTGTTTTTCTTTTACAACGAATGCTGCCTCTGTCAAGCCTTGTGGCGTTTCTTTTCTTTCTTTCTTTCTTTTTTTTATTGCCTATATCATTTTTTCTTATGCTTAAGCTTAATGATAATTTATTTTGTAATGATAATCTTGTCATTTTTGTATTTTTTTTTACAATTTCCTTCGTTGCTTTTGTAATCGCTTTTTTTCCATTCTGCCCTTGTGTGTAAATTTGTAATAAAGTGTTGAGTAATAATAATAATGATAAGTAATGGTAACAGGACTGAGTGGAGTCCAATTCGGTCCGTAATCATACGGGTAGCGGGAGTCCGATTTGTTTAATCACCAGTATGATTACAGACTGATCATGAATTGGACGACACGAAGTTCTGTTACCAATTAATCATAACTTTAACAAAATTTGTGATATATAAGGTCCTTTTTTAAAATCAAAACAGAAGAAATTCCAATTTTTTTTGCTAGTATTGAAAAAAAAAAGCCATTTAAGCGCGCGCGTGAGGGCGCGTACTGTCAAATTACTTAATAGGCACGTCACGCACTGTCCTATTAAATTGTCCAATTAAGGCTGAAATCAGGGCAGTTGATAGCCAATCAGATTTGAGAATTTTTTTATAGTTACGATTATAATAATAATAACAATAATAATAATAATAATAAAGAACGAGCAATACGCGCTGCGTACTGTGACAACAAATCGACTTACGAGGAAATCTTGCGTCGAGCGAAACTACCTACACTTTATACGCGGTGACTGCAAGCCTGGGCCCGGTTGCATAAAACGTCCGTAACAGTTACCGGTTTACGTACGTGCACTCGTAACTTAAGTGAGTTGCATTAAATCACTTACGTGGTTCACTTAGGGATTTCACTTAAATGGCTGCACTTCCGTTTTTCGTAACTAGCCACTTAAGTGTCATTTATGCAACAGAAATTGCGGGAGTTGCATAAAACCTTTTTTACGCGAAAATTGGCACGTAAATTTACGGGACCTATGCAGGTCCCGTATCCTTACTGTTTTTACTAAAGTTAACGAGATCTTTTCTGAGAAGTGAAAAATTGTTTTTTCTTTACGTAATTCCGTTCCAATGCGCTTTGGTAACATGTGATGTACCATTTAAAGCCGTCGTTAAGAAAAAAGAACAACAAACATTTCCAGTGGATATTGAAGTAAAATAACGTTTTAATGTAAACTTTATTTGAGTGAGAGGCTTAAAGGTGTTCGAAACGACTTGACACTTTCTTTACACTCACCGATGGTTAACTTAATTTAAAAAAATAGAGTGAGTCAAATTAATAATTAAAAGTACTATAACAAAGTTATGTGTGCCCTTAAGTGAACCCGTAAGTTACCACGTAAAACAGAAACTTACGAGAGTGCTAAGTTCGTTCCATGCAACACACGTAAGTGTACCCATAACGGATTCGTAAGTGACCTACTTAAGTGAGCACTTAAGTGCAGGTTTTATGCAACCGGGCCTTGGCGCCTCCCTAAATTGCGGACTTATTTGTAAATACCAATTCCCAGTATCATCTTATAAATCATGATTTAATCATACCTAGATTTCAGGCTGTTGTTTATGGCAAACATACATAGCCTGACC